GCACCTCGGACTCTGATCAAAGTTTGGCCGGAGGCTGCCGGACTTCAGAGGGCGGGCTCTCGGGCACCGGCTGTGCCGCCCGGGGCGGATGACCAGCCTCCTGCCTTTACGCTTGTAAGTCATAACCCGCAAACCCAGTGGCGCACCTCTGTATGCCTGGCCCTGTGCTAGGAGCCGGGAGATAAAATGGAGAACAAACTGGCCTGGTTTCTGCTCACCGTCCGATTGGGCGATAGTCTGGGGAAAGACAATATATTAAATATCTATCTCTCATTGAAGGAAGAAAAACGGGGGGCAAAGGAAGGGTGCTGAGGCCTTTCTGCAAGGATGAGAAGGAGTTAGTCCCGGGCAGAGAGGAGGCAGATGTGCTCTGGGTGTGCAAATTGCTGGCGGTGATACAAGCCCGGAGACCCTGGTGAAGACTGGCCCGTCACCCCAAGGGCCATGAGATTTGCCACTGCAGGGTTTTAAGCAGAAGAGTGACAGGACTGAGTCATGTTCTGTGGTGAAAGGATGGGGAAGTAGGAGGGCTGCTGAAAATGAGGGAACTGTTTAGGAAAAAAAAAAAGAGTTTGGACTACATAGGATATGTAAAGAAATGGACTGATGCATGCTACAACCTGGCAGTCGATCAAGCTAATTAGGTGACAGGTGACATCTATTTAAAGAAACATTAGCACCTACCCTAAGAGATCCTTGATGTGAACTGTCTAGTGGGGTGTCTGGCACACAGCAGCCAGCGTGCCCAAGGCCATGCAGTGCCTGGCAGCCTCCTGGCTCCCACCCAGTGCTCCTTTGAATACTGCCCTTCACCTTCCCGGTTTTCACAAATGTTTATACTAGAAGTGGCCTTTTCCGTACCTCTTCCAAAGGCTGTGGGCAAAGACTTTGTACCCAATACCCCCAGCATAGGAGCGATGGGATCAACTCCATCTAGAACAGTGGTTCTCAACCTTCCTAATGCCATGACCCTTTAATACAGTTCCTCATGTTGTGGTGACCCCCAATTTCATTGTTACAAATTGAACATAATTAAAGCATAGTGATTAATCACAAAAACAATATGTAATTATATATGTGTTCTCCGATGGTCTTAGGCGACCCCTGTGAAAGGGTCGTTCGACCCCCAAAGGGGTCGCGACCCCCACAGGTTGAGAACCGCTGATATCGAAGTTGGTGACGATTCTTCTCGAGCTGGGAGAAAAGCTGGTGCGCTCCTGTGGGCACCAGTCTCACCTACAAAGCCCAGACTGTGTCTTCCTCTTCTCTGGAACCTTTGCCTCTCCTCCTCTCCCAGCTGGTATCTGCCCCATGAACTTGGGCTGGAGGGCGATACAGTGAGAGGTATGGCAATCTCCACCTCCTTCTCGCAGCCAGAAGAGCAATGGTGCCAGAGTGTGGGTGCAGAGAGCCCCCGGGCCCTGCCCAGCCTAAACCGTCTCATAGGGCCCTGCAAGCCTTGCATTTGTCCTGGACTCTGCAAACTTCCAAAGTTTTTATCTCTTTTTTTTTTTTCTCCTGAAACCCCTCCAGGAAAGCAGGGTGGGGGTTAAACTCTGACCCCAAGGACAGCAACAACCACCCCTGACCAGCTCTTTGGGGCAAAGACCTCACTCTGCTGGACTTTAGGTCTCTAGCCTCTGGCCCTGACCCAGGACTGGGTTCCTAGGAGTTCACAAATGTTTGCTTTCCATAAAATTCACTCTTCTAACATGTACAATTCAGTAATGTGAAGGTTGTGCAACCATCACCAATTTCTAACACCATTCTTCCTGGCATTTCTGATTAAACAATCCAGCCAGTAGTCTAGAGAAATAATAGCTAATGGTTATTGAAAACACACTATTTTGGATTGCTTCTCAAAATGTACACAGATCCTCCAAGGTAAATTCTATTAATCTCCATTTCACAGATGAGCAAACTGAGGCTCATAGGCTAAGAATTTAGGCAAATTCACAGCTAGTAAAGCCAAGGAGCTGGAGGACCTTCACCCTGAAGCCAGGAAACCCCTCAGCAGGGCATCATTCCTCAGGGGGCCAGAGGTCACAGCAGGCAAAGGAGAGTCTCAGCTGTGAGTCAAACAAGCATCGGAAATTTACTGGGCACGTGCCCTGCCCTGGGGGAGACAGAGAGCTACAGGGAGTGCTACAGCCTGCCCCGGGGCTTGGGAAGGTCAAGGAAGATTGATTGAAAGCTCTGGGCCTCTACAGATGAATTCCAATGGGCAGGGTACAAGGGCAGGGCTCTAAAAATCACAGCACAAACCTGAAGCCAGGAGAGAGGAGGGGTGTATAGTGGCCCCACATTGGGCTTGGGGCATGACTTCTCAGAGCTGGTGGCCCACCTCCAAAGATCTACCCCAAACCATGAATCAGGGAAGATGTCTGTCATTCAACACTTTGGCAACCAGAGGACCTTGATCCAAGAGAGGGAAGCGGGGCTCGGTGCAACCCCTTGTGCCCTTTCCGAGGCAGTTCACCCACTCAACAGGGCCAATCGCTCTGGAAGTGAACTTCAGGGCTCCTTGCCCAACAGAGTTCTTTTGCCTGACTTTCCAGGGGCCAGAGGTGGTGGAAGAGCCAATCGGGCATGAGAATATCCTGTGAGAGCAAATCGCACTGAGAAAGCCGGACAGAAAAGGTGTGTTTGTGTGCCTGGTGCTTGCTTAGTCCCAATTCAACTCTCAACACAGAACGGGAAAAAGGAATCTGATTCATACAAATTACAGTTCCTTCCATAGGTCCTGTTTATTCCCAAACCCCAACCGGACACCTGATATCCTCTCCCCGCCTCCCAAGATCCCTGAGACCCATTGCATGGGCTGGAAAACTAAGGCACTATGGCAGAGTGCCCCTGTGGGTCACGGACACGACCGATGAAGACCCAGGAGTCCAGACTTTCAGGGACTCTGTCTCCCCAAATGTCTGAAGGAACAGGGAGATAGATGCGCTTTCCTTTCTCTCCGGTCTTCAGAGCAGGGCCTCTGTGCCGAGGTTTTCTGAGGAAGCGCCAGTGCTCTGTCAGCTGCTCTGACGGAGAGCAGAGGAGCCAGTGGCCATCGGGAGACAGGGGAGACTCGAACCCAGGGCTGGGCCTGCCTTCCAGCCAACATGTCTGTCAGGACCAGGACTCTGCAGCTGTGCTGCGCCCCCAGACGGGGAACAACAGAGCTGTCTATGCCAGGGAGCAGAGAGGGGCGAAGGTGGAGGGAGTACCCCTAAAGGGGCTACTGGCTTGGAGGCCCAGGGGGCTGAGGAGAAATTTGATCCAGACTCCAGCGCCAAGCACGGAGGGTGCTGATGGGGGGCTGCCCAGCTGGGCTGCTGTGACAGGATCCCGAGGCTGCCATCACGTTCACACTTCCCAGGGCATAAAATGTGGCTCTTCTCTCGAGGGTGACACAGGCTCAGAGCTTGCTCCGCGGGGTCTCTGCCAGGGGCCGCTGCAGCCGCCACACCACCCTCACTGGCTCGGCAGCGTGGTCCAGCGCCCGGAGGCCGCCCATGTCGCCCGTCTGACTGTACTGCCGCAGGGCCGGCTGGAGCACCGTGATGGGAATGCTGAAGTTCAGGTGCGGGTAGGTGGCCCCGGTGTTATTGTCCCGGGTGTTGCTGGCGACAATCCCTGTGGAGGGGTCAGAGAGGAAAAGAGCGTGTGAGCAGGACACAGAGGGATGGGGAGGGAGGCCCATCTCCGCAAGGGAGGTCCTAGGCCTACGGTGGGTTTGAAGCCCCCAGTGACCGATGCCAGGTTTTCTTTCAGGGACACCGACTCCACAAACCCTGGTCCCCCTTCCTGCCTTAACTTTCTCAACACTATCAGTATCTAACACTGTTTCACTTACTCTGCTATCTTTCTCTCCAACCAGTGTCGGGTCCACAGGGCAGGACTTTTGTGTTTTGTTCATGTGGCCCCCCAGACCTAGACAGTGCCCAGCACAGAGGCGGCACTCATAAATACTTGTTGAGTGGGTGAATGAATGAATCAAACAGACACATTTTATTTGGCCTGCTTAGTGCGCACATGTATTTTTTTCAGACAATTTTAGACTTACAGAAGACTTGCCAAAATAGTACAAAGTTCCTGTATATCCTTCATCCAGCTTTCCTTTCTATTAATGTCTTATGTCACCATAGAACATGGACTAAGCCCTGGCCCGTTTGCTTGGTCCCAGGTTCCATTCCTGGTCAAGGGCATATACCTCAGCTGTAGGTTCCCCAGCCCAGGTAGGATGTGTGCAGGAGGCAACCAATTGAGGTGTCTCTCTCACATTAATGTTTCTCACTCACTCTCTTCCCCTCCCTTTCCTCCCTCCGTTCCACTCTCTCTAAAAATCAATGGAAAAATTATCCTTGGGTAAGAATTAAAAACAAAAGGGAAAAAAACACACACTGATCAGAACCAACAAATTAACCAATGCTATTGACTGAAGCATAGAACTCATTTGGATTTCACCAATGTTTCCACCAATGTCCTCTTTCCATTTTGGATGCAACCCCGTATCCCACACAGCATTTAGCTGTTGCCTCTCCTAAGTCTCCTCCAATCTGGGCCAGTTCCCCAGCCTGCCCTCATCTTTTGTGGCCTTGACACTTTGAAGAATGCAGGCCAGTTATTCTGTAGAATGTCCCTCAATTAGGGTTTACCTGATGTTTTCTCAGGATGAGATCGAGGTTTATTGAGAATACGGTACAAGCAACATGTCCTCAGTGCTTCCCAAGGAGGTGTATGACGTCTATAAGAATGACTGGGTCACTTGGCTATGGGTTATCTCCCAGGTCTCTCCACTGTAGACTTAGTATTTTCCCGTGTAAAGTACTAAATATCTGAGGGTTAGGCAAATACCCTATTTCTATTCCCCACTGGTTTGAGCATCCATCGGCGGATCCTGTCTGCAGCAATTCCTACTGTGGGGAGCCAGTAGTGATTTCCCATTCCCTCATTTCTTCTGCTTTTACTAATTGCAAATCTTCTGTAAGAAAGAGCTGTGGCTTGTCTCCATTTTGAGGTTTGGTTATTCATCTGGACACATGGATGTTCGTGCTTTCGCTGGGCTCACCCGATACTCTTGCGATTTGTTTTGTTGCTCCAGTTGCTCCCATGGGAGCTCCTTCAAGTCGGCTCTTAGTTCTTTCAACATCTGACACGTCCCATCACTGGGTTGTTTTGTTAGCATTTCCTTCCTTTTCAGCACCTTGAGAGCCGATTTTCCCTGCCTGATCCTGGTACCAACCAGTTCCCGGTTCCTTTTATTAGAGAGCCGGTTCTCGGTGCGCTCATTCATCAGCTGGGTTGTCACAGCGGACAGAGCCAGAATACACATATTTACATTAACTACTGCATACATACCAGTACACATATGTTTATTTCTGTATGCATTTGTCTATATATATATTTTTAAAGTCATGGTTGCTTGACTTTATTTGCACACTGCCGTTGAAGGAATAAGTAAATCTATTGTAGCAAGAAAGAGCAAGGTCTCTCACTATGGCAAAAAGCAGTCAGAAATAAGAGAAGGGGAGGCACACATGAACCCCATGTGCTGGACTGCAGTTGGGCAGTTGGAGGTACCCATATGGATTCAAGTTGTCTTGTGTGGGTTTTTTTAAATAAAATACTTAAAAAAAAAAACAAAAAACCTGAGTTACCAAAAATTTTAAATTGAAAGATTTAACAACCACATATTTGAAAAAAAAAAAAAAGGAAAAGAAGGTTCACAGCTTCTTGTGAAAAACTGAAGGTCAGCCAGTGTTAGCTCACATTCCTTCACGATGTGGCAACAATGGGCTGGAGCTGAGTGTTCACCCCGGCTCACCCTTGACCTCCCCCTGCATGCTGTCTCCACTCATTTATTCATCCCTTGACCTTCAAGCCCCTGTAAGCTATGGAGTCTGTGACCCCTGGACTCATCCAACTCCTGAGTCTCACAGGTTGACTGAGATTGGGGGATTACCTACGGTTGCACTGTGGCTCAGGGGCAGAGAAGGAACCAGAACCCAGACGTCTTTCCTTGCAGCTCAGCATCCGTCCCTTTCTACCCTCAGGAGCAGAACAAGCCTGAAACCTTGGCTAACTACTTCCCAGGCACAGTGACACTGCCTTCCCAGACAGGGGGTGAACACCAAGCCCTCAGTAGCTGGGACTGAGGCTCTAGCAAGGGGAAGGCTGGGAGAGGGCCAAGGCGCTGCTTACCCAGGAGGTCCCCTGAGCAGGTAGAGAAGAGGGGTCCCCCACTGGAGCCGCCATGCACAGCACATGTGGTCTGCAGCATCACTGGTGCGTCATCCACCTGCACCACAGCTGACAGGATGCCCGAGGTCACCGAGGGCCCACAAGCCTGGCCAAAAACGCCGAAGCCCACCACGCTGACAGCCTCGCCTGCCAAAAAGGAAAGAAGGATGAAGCTGCAAAGCCTCTTCCTGTCTGGCAGGACTCATCCTCCCCGGCCCCAACCCTGCCCTCTCCAAAGCTCCCAACACTCTGCCCTGGGAGTTTCTGCTCAGACACTCCTGCCTTCCGAGAGCCTCCCTAGGTCCCCAGAGGAAGAGGCCGGGACCGGCACTGAGCTCCCAGCACTGCACCTGCTCAACCACTGCTCAGTGCCAGGCTGCTCCCCAGCCTCGTCCCTAGTAGAGTGGGTGGTCACTTTTTGGAGTTTCTAGCAGCCAGCTAGGTGCTCAGTAAATGTTTAAGAATTAACACCACCTCCTCCTGGGACTAATAAGTAGTCTCGTAGTAAAAAAAAAAAAAAAAAAAGTGGTGATGAGACCACAAAATCTTCCTTTACCAAGTGTGTGAATGCACAGGCACGGGGCCGAGCGCTCACAGGCAGCATCTCACCCGGGCCTCACACACCCAGGAGCAGGAAGGTGTCCAGTTATACATGCGGAGACCGAGGCAGAGAACATCGTGTTGCCTGTCCAAGGACACGGGGCTCGTAAGCGGCAAGAGAGGCCAGCTGGGAGAGCCCGTGCTCTCTGTAGTGACATCACACCGCGTGCACAAAGTCGGCCGCCAGCGGCAACTTCTGTGGCGGCATCACAAAGCCTCCTGCTCAAATCACCCACTGCAGCCTTACAGGAGCCCCTCTCTGACCAGCCGGCCATGTTGTAAGGAGCCTGCCATAGGGCCGCAGGGAAGAGGCATGCCTCCTCCTTAGCTGGGGACCCCACCTGCCTCCCAGCACCTTGGGCATGTGGGCACAAGAAGGGGAGTGTCCAAGAGCAAAAGCACTGTACCCAGGGTGGCTTCATGCCAGCTGGATGTCACCCTGACTTCTTAGTCCAGCAGGAGTGGGAAGGGGGTTGGCCGGGGGGACTGGCTCCCTCATCTGCAGGGATTGAGTGTCCAACTCTGACTTTCCTTCCTAAGGTCCAGCCCAGAGCAGAGGGCCCCTCTGCCCTTTACCTTCGTAGAAATGTTCAGTGGGCACCGGCACGAGGACACCCTCTAGTTCTTCCTCCAGGCTCACCACGGCTATGTCATACGGAGATGTCTCCTGAGTGGCAAACACCACGTGTCCCCAGATCTTGGCACTCCTGGGAGCAAGGGAAACAAAAGGACAGGCTGGATTTCTGACCCTTTAGTGCCGGGAAAAAGCAAATGGATGAGAGACAGTAAAAGTCATGGACGTGGGAGTCAAAAGATCTGGTGACAGTCCCGAATCCTACCAGGCCGGCAACTCTGGTCACGTCCCTTAACCGTTCTGTGGTGTTATTTCCGAAGAGCTTTACCAACGGCAAAGCTTCCTGCACGTCACTGTGATCACCAACACCCGACACCTAGTGAGCACTGTGGGCCAGGCCCCGTGTTAACACTCTGTGGGTGTCATTCATGAAGTCCTCACAGAATCCCTGTGGGCGAGGCACTGATATTTCCTCCATTTTAGGTGGGGCATTGGAGACCCAGAGAGGCTGAGTAACGTTCCCAAGATCACATAATGCGTGAGTGGCAGGAGCCAGAGCAAGCTGCCCGGCTTTTTCCTTCGCTGCCTCATTTAACAGGGATAATCCTGTGCAGGGGTGGGGCAGGCGTGACAGGATTTCAACCCTCTGGGTCCTTGTTTACATAAGTGCTAGCATTTCCACGGCACTTACTATGTGCCAGGCTCTGCTCCAAGACTGCACATGCCACCTCAAGGCGAGGCAGCTTAGACACTTCCTGCTGCATACAGCAGGGTTGCTCCCAGCAGACCTGGTGGTTTTCTTAGGAGCAAGCGCGTGGTGGGGTGAGGTATCTGGGACCACACAGGCAGGGAAATTCCCATCAGTCGTGGTTGTCCCGTAGGCCACCAGTGCAATAGGTGGGTTAGTCTCGGAAATTCAATAGGATTTTGAAAGGCCTGGGCTGCCAGGCTGTGGTGAGCCAGGTACAGGAGAACATCAGGCATTAACACCAAGGTGCTATCCTGCTTGGTGTGGCTTAAGTTAAGCACCTGTAAACTACCGGGGAAATAGAAAGAACATGCACTAGAAAATCAAGCCAGGAGGCCAAGGCCACTGTCCCCACTGCCAGAGCAAGTGCACAAAGAGCAAGTGCTTTTCCCTCCAGAAAGGGGACAAATGACTAAAGTCCCAACCTGGCCGCCCACCAGGATCACTCTAAAGACTGCGCAAAATCTATCGGCCTGGGCCCCACGCCCACATTCTCATTAGGTGGGACTCCACGTCTATCATTTTGACCCAGATGGGAAGCTCTGGTTAAGATCTACAAGATAAAGAAGTTGAACAAGTCCAACTCATTATCCCAGGAGCACAGCATCCTGGGCCCTGAGGCTTCACTATCCCTATCAGGGAAGTCTCCATTCCAAGGCCTAGGGGTGTGTGAGTGCAGAGAAGTTGCTCAGAAGGAAATCAGATGCCCAGGCAGGAA